AATTAACTAACCTGCTGGTATGAATTGCGTCCTCCGTTGCTGGTCGATTGGATTGGTGTCGTAGATGACCAGATTGATGTGTCTGGGAGGAAGACCACCTTCACCTACGAACACGGCCGCAACTTCATTTGCGGTTGGCATGTTGTTCCGGCCCCTATCCCGGGCCACATCTTCGACAAAATGCATCCTGACTGGTCTAGGTGGTACAGCTGCGGGATCGGCTAGGGCTCTTTCTGCCAGCCACACCTGACGCATGTTCCTGAAACGAATAGACATTTATATATTTATGTTTATCACACTCCATGATGTGTACAAATAATTGTGAATTGTAATTACAAAGGAGATGGTAATTGGTGTATTTGGAGTTAAGGATTTGTAAACTAAAATATAATGTAGGTACCTATGTAACCTAATAGTATATTAATATTATATACAGTGCATTTATCTCTATATTGTTAGAAATAATTGTATGTGTAATAATAGTAAAGTAAAATTTAAAACCATTTACCTCCATATTGGTAGCAGTGATATTTTAAATATTTGTGTGTCTGTGTGTAGGTATAATAAGCGTAGAGAATTAAAATGTATTAATGTATTGTTAAATGTATCTCAATGTATCTCTTTTACTTCGAAATTACATAAATATCTTAAATCATAAACATCCGAACCCTATGTCATATTTAATGTTATATCATTGAGTATTGACTCCAAGTATTAACAACAAATTAATTGCATGTATTATACCTTAGGTATCTTAAATAACAAATAAGTATTAACCAATAGAAAATAGGTTTTTGTAAATGTATTATATAACCAAAATTTTAATGTAGGTAATATAATGGTATGTAAATATCATTCAGTGCATTTAACTTGGTAGGAATAAGCTATAAGCTATAAGAAACAGCTATTGAAACATTTTCTATTGTATTCAACCCATTTTTGAAGTTAACTATTTCGTTTAACTATCTTTTAAATATTTTCTATTTCATAATTATGAACACATTCTCTTTATAACAATTATTATAATATCAACTCAGCTTTTCTGATTTTACAGGAAACTTGTCTGTCATTATTCATCTATTATCTATAACTTAAACTTTTCGTTGCTAAATGAATATATTATTATTATTATGTTTATTAACACAATATAAAATAAAAATGTATATTATAAATATGTGTGTGTGTGTGTGTGTGTGTGGGTGTAGTAAGCTTAGAGAGTCACACAGAATAGGTAACAATAAAACATCTACTTAGAATTTACTATAAGGGTTACATAGATAATAAGAATAATAATAGTTGGTATGGTTGTGCTACTCTAAGGGGGGCAATTCACATACCTAGTGTTAATAAATATAATAGTTAAAGTTTTCTTACATAAAAGCCATCGCATACGGATTGATGTCCCGCAGCAAACCGTCCAATAATCCTATGACGATTTCGGACAGTTCATGATTGCTCTGTCGTGCAATATCGAGACGCCGGTGGTTGGCCTCTCCGGACTCCAAAAAATACAACTGACAGTTGTTGGCACTTCCCGGGGCAACGGCCACCTCATTGTTGGTCCTCCGATAGGTCTGACCGTGGACAATCCACACCGGCGGTCCCCGCCCTGGCAAACGCCTGTCGTTTGCGTCGCAGGTAAACGCAGCGAATGCCAGAACATTGTTGTAACGCCGAATGTCCGCCCGGAATCTACGGGCATCCTGTGAATCATCTATAAATAAACTCTGTATTAAATAGGGGACGGGCAACAACGCGTGCTGTCCTGCAGCGGTCACTTGGCCGTTGTTACAACACGTGTTGAAGTGACCCCGGGACGTTTCCTCGCCACTGAAGTGGCGGGCGTAACAATGTCTGCAGACTCTGTCCAGTGCACCCACGTAGTGCCGCTCTGGAACCGGGTGTGTTACGCCCGCTTGCCGGTTTATCATTGGCGCACGCCCTACGGGTAGTTCGACCACTACCACGTACTCAATATCTTCTACCGGGAAGTCGTCCTCCACCCCGTCGTGGGCCACTTCCACTTCCTCGACCATTTCCACCTCATCTGCCACTTCCACTTCCTCCACCCCGTCGTCGACCATTTCAACCTCCTCTGCCACTTCCACTTCCACGTACTCCACATCCTCTACCACTTCCACGTACTCCACGTCCTCAATCCCATCCATCTGGACTTCTGCCACTTCCACTTCCCCATTCTCCTCCACCTGACGGTCGACCATGTCCACGTCCTCTCTCTGGACCTCCACTTCTTCCACTACGTCCATCTGGACCACCACTCTTTCCACGTCCTCCTCTCCATCCGCGTCATCACCAAGTACCTAAAAGTTAGGTACAGTTTAGAGTAGGTACAAAATTAAGGTTTTTTATAATTCTAAATAATTAAATATTATATAATATTATGTTTGTGCATTGAACGTCAAAATCCATACTCAAAGAGAAATGCTGCACTAAAGTATTAGTAACAACGTCTAAGAAAAAAAAAACAGTAGAATGTATATAATTACTTTCACTCGACTGTATAAACACACACAATGTTAAGTATACAATATCAGTTATGTAAACATAGGTAATCTATGGTTTATTTTCTAATGTAGCATGGTTAAGTGCGTTTCTATGAAATTATATGGGCATTTAAATATCATAAATAGTCTAACTTACAATTAAAGGAGAGTAGACCTGAGTCAGTAGTAAATAGTATAAGTATTTTGTTCATTGGTTGTAAATACTCATAATAAAAGTTAAAATACGGTGAGTTGAACTTTTAATGGTTGTGTGTTCATATATATTTAATATAATCTTGTATTGGTTAGGTGTAATGTGCTCATGTGTTATACCGTGTATACTCATATGCAATAAGTGCATTTATATGAAATTCTTATAGGATAAGTTGAATGTAAGGTTTATGTCTTCAAAGAGATAAGATCAAGTACACCTATATCTATCACCACCATAAATAAAGTAAATAATATATTGAACACTATGATAATACACATATGTTTGGTTGAATGAACTATTAAATCCAACGACAATAACTTGAGTTTATAGTAGGTACAATATTAAATACCTAATATTTTTTGTGTGCATTGAACGTCAAATCAATACTCAAAGCTTAACCTAACCTTAATAGGTACAATCTTTTACACTGTAGTATAATCTAAAATTGTCATTGTAGTAAACAGATAAACTGAATTTTAACTTTAAAATCAAGAGCCAATCAAAAAACAAAGAAATTCACAGAAGAATGTATAATTGGTTGCGCATTCATACATAGTTATAATCTTTCTAACAACAATAACTTTGAAACATTGTAACAATGTATTGCACTGTTTAACAGTAAGTGTTATTTCTAAGAGTACTACATATCTAGTACACAACTTACAAATGACCTAGGTCAGTAGGTAGTAGTAAGATGTAAGAAAATGTTTAAGTATTTTGGTCATCGGTTGTGTTGTGAATACCCATAATAAAAGTTAAAATACAATAAGTTGAACTTTTAATGGTTGTGTGTTCATACACAACGGTAAGTGTATGTACTCACAGTGCATTTATATGAAATTATTATATGATAAGTTGAATGTAAGGTTTTTGTTACACTAATAAAATCATACATGGTTTTCAATGTGATAAAATCAAGTACACCTATATCGATCACCACTATGTATCAAATAACACACATCAGTAGTAAATATGTTACACTGTAGTAAAAACAAAGTTAGTTGTATAAATAAAGTAAAGAAAGTATGCAACACTTATCCAATACAAAAAAAAAGGAGAGGTTAGTAAAGAGTCTAGAATACCTACTTGTATAGTAGTAACATTAAGAAAATGTGTCAAGTGTTCTTCTGTTTAGAGCAATATAGTAAAAGTTAATGTGTTAATATAGTTATAAGTAAGTATACAATTTTAGTCAATGTATGAAAATAAGCTTGACCCAGTTGACACAGTTGAATGCCGTTCAAGTTATTCTACAATTTCATTTCTATACAATTATAATATAATAAGTAGAATGAAAGTTTTTATGATAAAATAGACATTTAGTTTTCAAGAATGTTATATAGTACCTATAGTAGTAAAGTAAAGTATAAGTTATGTACAGAAACAATGTATATAATATGTATCTAAGGGCAAAGTGAATAATAATTAAGCATGTAACAAATTTTAACCGTAGATTAGACACTACTGGATGTGAAATGATAAAATACTTATGTAGAACACAACTTACAAATAAAGGAGAGTAGACCTAGGTCAGTATTAAGTAGTAGTAGTAGTAGTAGTAGTAGTAGTAGTAGTAGTAGTAGTAGTACTATTAGTAATATTAAGAACTGTGTAAGAAAACGTTCAAGTATTTTCATATTAAGCTTTACCCAGAGTTTAATGAAACAGCAAATAATATAGAATGTTAACCAACCACAATGACTTAATGCAAGTACCTATTAGGTAGTCTAGTTTTAATGGTTGTGTGTTCATATATATTTAATATAATCTTGTATTGGTTAGGTGTAATGTGCTCATGTGTTATACCGTGTATACTCATATGCAATAAGTGCATTTATGTGAAATTCTTATAGGATAAGTTGAATGTAAGGTTTATGTTACACTAATTTCAAAGAGTCTTCAATGTGATAAGATCAAGCACACCTATATTTATCACCACTATAAATAAAGTAAAGAATGTATTGAACACTATGATAAAACACATATGTTTGGTTGAATGAACTATTAAATCCAACGACAATAACTTGATAGTAATAACTTGAGTTTATAGTAGGTACTGTGATAAAGTAATATTGTTATCTTATCTATTATATTCCTATTTATTATATCTTAACTATATTCTTTATCTGTTTCATAATAATATTATAAGTTGCAATGTCATGTAGTTTATTGTGTAATAATGTAATAATGTGCACCACGTTTTTGTTTAATAAAGCCTTAAGTATTAAAGGTCTAGAATACTATTTCACAACAATTTATTAAACAAAAACTTATTAATCAATATGGAAAAACTGCTGAGACCCGATCGTTTTGAAGCAGACCAAAATTCACCCACAGCAGCCAAGGAGTGGTCTCATTGGAAGAAATTGTTCCAAAATTATATTGCAGAGGCCAAACTAAAAGAGGAGGATAAATTAAAGGTACTCATTAACTTTTTAAGCCACTCAGTGTATGACCATATAAGCGACTGTAAAGATTTCAGTGATGCTATTAAAATTCTAGATGGTATTTATATAAAGCCTAAAAATGAAATATTTGCCAGACATCTATTAGCCACAAAGAAACAACTGACAAGTGAATCTATTGACCAATACTTGCAGTCTCTAAAGATTTTAGCTAAGGAATGTACATTTAAAGCCGTTAGTCCCTCACAGTATAAGGATGAGTACATAAGAGACGCATTCATTAATGGTATCATGTCTAATAGCATCCGTCAACGTCTGTTAGAAAACGACGAACTAAGTCTAGAACGAGCAGTGATGCAGTCACGAGCGCTAGAGATGGCACAAAAGCAGTCTGAAGCCTACTCTATGCCTGTAGAATCTATAAATCATGTAAATACCGAAGCAGAAGACGAACAATCTGAATCAATGATCGCAGCCATCCGACAAAAATGTTTTTTTTTGCGGGTATGACCGGCATCCGCGTAGCTCTTGTCCAGCTAGGGAAGCTGTGTGTAGGAATTGTGACAAAAAAGGTCATTTCTCCAAAGTTTGCAAATTAAAGAAAACTCAAAACTCAAATAAGTCTAATACAACTACTTCGGCTTTTATTGCAAATCTAGCCTGCATCTCTGCAAACTTACCGGGTGCTCTATCAAAAACAGTTATTAAAGTTAGAGTCAATGATATGGAAGCAAATGGTCTAGTGGATACTGGAGGTTCAAGTAGCTTCATAGATGATGAATTTGTCCAGTATCATAAAATAAAGGTATTTCCTAAGAAGGGACAGGTAGTTTTAGCATCTGCAGAGCATTCATCACACTTAAAAGGGTTTGTTTGCGTAGACTTATCATTGCAAGGGCACGTGTATAAAGATGTCAAATTATCAGTACTGTCAAAATTATGCACTGATGTTCTCATAGGTCATGATATATTACAGAAACACTCTAAAGTAGAAGTTACCTTTGGCGGGCCTAAATCCCCTTTATTAATCTGTAATATGTCTTCAACAGCAATAGAACCAAATGTAATAAAACCCATGCCCTCATTTGTAATAGAACCTCCTCGCCTTTTCAAGAACCTAGCTTCCAACTGCAAACCTATAGCTGTCAAATTACGCCAATATTCTGAGGAGGACTATACATTTATCAAGGATGAAATAATTAAATTATTGAATGAAAATGTTATTGAGGAGAGTATGTCGCCATGGCGAGCCCAGGTATTAGTTACAAAAACTGAAAACCATAAAAAACGCATGGTAATCGATTACTCTCAAACAATTAATAGGTTCACAATGTTAGATGCCTATCCTCTACCAATAATAAATGACCTAGTTTCCAAAGTAGCCCAATATAGTATATATAGTACTATAGATTTACATAATGCATACCATCAGATACCGATCCACGAGGAGGAAAGAGATTATACAGCTTTTGAGGCTGCTGGTCGCCTTTATCATTTTCGGAAAATCCCTTTTGGAGTGACAAATGGAGTGGCCTGTTTCCAAAGAGTGATGGATAAAATAATATCAAATGAGAACCTAAATGGAGTATACGCTTATTTAGACGATATAACAATATGTGGAAAAAATCAGTCTGAGCATGACCTGAACCTGAATAAATTTCTCAATGCAATGAAAAATTATGGACTCATACTAAATGAAAATAAATGTCAGTATTCTATGCAAACAATTACACTTCTTGGACACCAGATCACGAATAAAAGTGTAAGTCCAGACCCAGATCGATTGAAGCCTCTTTTGAATCTACCTCCACCCAAGGACGCCAAATCATTAAAGAGGGTTTTAGGTATGTTTTCTCATTATTCAAAGTGGGTTAGAAAATTCTCAGACAAAATCCATAATCTAATACTTTGTAAGTCATTCCCTATGTCATCATCTGCAATTGCTGATTTTGAAAGTATCAAGCTAGACATTGCCAATTCAGTAATAAGTTCTATCAGTGGTGATGAGCCCTTAGTAGTTGAGAGCGATGCCTCAAACCATGCGTTAGCAGCAACACTTAGTCAGAATGGGCGCCCTATAGCATTTTTCTCAAGAAGTCTCTCGAATTGTGAAAAGAAACACCCATCTATAGAAAAAGAAGCTTATGCAATTGTAGAGGCATTAAGGAAATGGAGACATTTTTTAATAGGGAGGCAGTTCAAACTTATAACGGATCAAGAAGCCGTATCTTTTATGTTTAACTTGAAACATTCAAGTAAAATTAAAAATGATAAAATTATTAGATGGAGACTTGAGCTTTCTTGTTTTAGTTTTGACATACAATATCGCCCAGGAAAGGAAAACACTGTGGCTGACACTTTCTCAAGAGTATGCGCTGTTGTAAATAACTCTAACATGTTATCTGATTTACACAAATCTCTATGTCATCCAGGTGTTACTAGAATGTTCCACTGGATCAAGAGTAAGAATCTACCATTTTCGATTGAAGATATAAAGAAGTTGACCAGTAGCTGTAATGTATGTGCAGAAGTAAAACCAAGGTTCTACAAAAAACAAGAAGGTCATCTTATAAAAGCTACTTCACCATTCGAGCGATTGAATATTGATTTCAAGGGACCGATACCATCTAAGACTGGAAATAATTATATCCTTACAATCGTAGACGAGTTTTCTCGCTTTCCTTTTGCCATACCATGCAGGGATCTGAGCTCAGCCACAGTGATAAAGTGTCTGTCCTACCTATTTTCTATATTTGGTATGCCAGCATATATTCATTCAGATCGAGGAGCAGCTTTTCTCTCTCAAGAGCTCACAACTTTCCTGTGTACCCGAGGCATTGCCACTAGCCGTACAACGCCCTATAATCCCGCAGGGAATGGTCAGGTCGAACGGTATAACGGAATTATCTGGAAGACTGTCCAGTTGGCTATAAAAACAAGAGGATTGAAATTAGAACAGTGGGAAGCTGTAATAGCTGATGCCTTACATTCCATTCGGTCTTTGCTATGTACTGCTACCAATTGTACACCACACGAACGATTTTTCGCTCATCCTCGGCGCTCTTCAAATGGTGGAACACTTCCGTCATGGCTCAGCTGCCCCGGGAAAGTCTTCATAAAGAAACATGTACGTGCTTCGAAGTACGAGCCATTAGTGGAAGAAGTGGATTTAGTCGAAGTAAATCCTGAATACGCTTTAGTACGCTACGAAAATGGTAGAGAGTCAAATGTTTCGTTAAGAGATCTAGCACCTGTGGGTGACAGAACATTATATGAAGAACCTTCAGACAGAATAGATCCAAAAACAACACTTCAAGACACTCCAACCACAAGTGAGCCAAAGGAAGAGATGATTCAAACAGATGCTAGTACAGAAGGAACATCAAATGAACTTGATGGACCTCGGAGAACCACCAGAAATAAATCAACCCCTAAATACTTAAAAGACTATGTCACTAATTAATAATTAGTATTTTCTATGCTAGGGAGAATGTGATAAAGTAATATTGTTATCTTATCTATTATATTCCTATTTATTATATCTTAACTATATTCTTTATCTGTTTCATAATAATATTATAAGTTGCAATGTCATGTAGTTTATTGTGTAATAATGTAATAATGTGCACCACGTTTTTGTTTAATAAAGCCTTAAGTATTAAAGGTCTAGAATACTATTTCACAACAGGTACAATATTAAATATCTAATATTTTTTTGTGCATTGAACGTCAAATCAATACTCAACGCTTAACCTAACCTCAATAGGTACAATCTTTTACATTGTAGTATAATCTAAAATTGTCATTGTAGTAAACAATTTTAACTTTAAAATCAAGAGCCAATCAAAAAACAAAGAAATTCACAGAAGAATGTATAAATGGTTGCGCATTCACACATGGTTATAATCTTTCTAACAACAATAACTTTGAAACATTGTAAAAACGTATTGCACTGTATAACAGTAAGTGTTTCTAAGAGTACTACATATCTAGTACACACCTGGGCCAGGTGTAAGTAATGGTAGCAGTAGTAGTAATAGTAGTAAGATGTAAGAAAATGTTTAAGTATTTTGTTCATTGGTTGTGTTGTGAATACCCATAAGTTAAAATACAATGAGTTGAACTTTTAATGGTTGTGTGTTCATACACAACGGTAAGTGTATGTACTCATAGTGCATTTATATGAAATTATTATATGATAAGTTGAATGTAAGGTTTTTGTTACACTAATAAAATCATACATGGTCTTCAATGTGATAAAATCAAGTACACCTATATCTATCACCACTATGTATCAAATAACACACATCAGTAGTAAATATGTTACACTGTGTTACAAATAAAGTTAGTTGTATAAATACAGTAAAGAAAGTGATGAACACTACGATAAAACACTTATCCAGTACCTACACAATTCACAAAAAAAAGGAGAGTTTAGTAAAGAGTCTAGTAATACCTACTTTGTGTAGTAGTAACATTAAGAAAATGTTAATTTATATAGCAAAACGTGAAGTATCCTGTTTAGGTCAAAGTTGATATATAAGTATAGCTGTAAGTTAATCTAAGTATCAATTAGTCAATGTATGTGCTTGACCCAGCGTTTGTTATGCAACTGAAATCTGAAACAGTGGCAACACAATTGAATGTCGTTCAAGTTATTCTATACATACAATTATAATAATAATAAGCTGATTGGAATTCTTATGATAAAATAGACATTTAGTTTTCAAGAATGTTGTACCGAGCCAGTACAGTATTTTAAAGTATGAGTAGGTATAGCAGAGTAACCTAAGTTATGTACAGAAACAATTTATATAATATGTATCTAAGATCATAGTGAATATTAACACGGAATAAACGTAAACAAATCTATTGTATTAACTTTTGAAATAATAAAAACATTTCTAAGAGTACCACATGTTAAATGATAAAATGCCTATCTAGTACACAACTTACAAATGACCTAGGTCAGTAGTAAGTAGTAAAAAAGAGTGTGTTGTTCATACATAATTTAATATAAGCTTGTGTTGGTTAGGTATTACCGTAACAATAACAAACATTAAAAAACTCTATAACAGTAAGTGTAGTATACTCATATGCAATAAGTGCATTTATATGAAATTTTATAGGTATTGAAATCTCATAAACATGTACCACATAAAAGTTAAAAAACGGTGAGTTGAACTTTTAATGGTTGTGTGTTCATACATAGGTATTGAATATAATCTCGTGTTGGTTAGTTTTAATGTGCTTATGTGTTATACCGTAAAAATAACAACAGACTTACATTTTAAAAATGTATTGCACTCTATAACAGTAAGTGTATGTACTCATATGCAATAAGTGCATTTATATGAAATTATTCTACGGTCTATCACCACTATGTATCAAATAACACACAATATAGTAGTAAATATGTTACACTGTAGTACAAACAAAGTTAGTTGTATAAATAAAGTAAAGAAAGTATTGAAATAATCTTAACAGTAAGACAATATGTAAAATGATAAAACACTTATCCAGTATAGGAGAGGTTAGTAAAGAGTCTAGTAATACGCCTACTTTGTGTAGTAGTAACATTAAGAAAATGTCTCAAATGTTAATTTCTATACAATTATAATATAATAAGTTATTAATTAATATTTTTATGACAAAATAGACATTTAGTTTAAATAAAGTAAAACACTTGTCCAGTAAGTAATGCCTAATTTGTGTAGTAGTAACATTGAGAAAATGTGTTATGTGTTCTTTTTAGGTCAATATAGTAAAAGTCGATCTGGGTATACAATTTCAGTTAGGTTGCTAACATACGAAGTATGTACCTACCTACATTAAACTCATGAGAGTACACAACAGTATTAGTAATAGTGTACTGGTGTATTTATTGAATATATATAATGTATACACTCACTAAAGACGGCACTGCTGTTGACGACAGACGTCGGCGCTCCGCGTTTCCCACAGCGTAGTCAACTCCAGGGACGAAGTGCCTCGAACACAGCTTAGATGTGTGGTTCACGGGGAAACCTTGATCAACCACAAATGCCACCCACTCAAGACGACGTTGTACGGCACTTGGAAATCTAAGGAGACATATTATTATTATTATTATAATACATTGATAAGCGTATTAACGTGTTGAATGAATTACTTGTGTACGGAAACGTCAATGATGTTGTCCACAATTCCGCAAAGCGCACAGCGTTTGACCATTTTGAATAGCCTAAAAGCATCACGAACAGGTTATAGTCTATATTATAATATAATAAAATCATAGGTAATAAGTAAATAATAAATATGAAACACTTGTTGCAATCCAATATTATGATCAGTATCAGTTTGTTATCAGCGGTGATGTGTGACCCTTGTGTTATTTTTAGAATTAAAAGGTGCACACCGGTTTACGTGAAATAGGAGAATAGAAATAGGAGAATACGAAAAATGACATATCCAGCAAAATAACGCAAAATGTACCTAGCGACAAAACACGTGTATCGCGATGGTAACGCTCCGAAACGGCTAACGGACTTACACGTCGACTACATACGGCTAATACGAATGCGGATATAAAAAAGTGTAGGGTATTCAAAGTACAAAAAAACACGAAACGCGCCATGATGGCCAGCTGAAAACGTAGGTGGTGAAAATATCATGTTCTTTAGCGATACGCGCTGCCACGAATACATCTGTAGTTTATCTGGATATTATAATATAGTAGTAGACATAAGAGTTGTACTTACCGGTATGTGAAAAGCGCCCAATGCAGAACAACAAAACTCAAAGGAAAGCACTGAAATATTGAATAATAATACAACGTATCAGGCTTTTCTGAGAGAGTTGATGTGCGTTACAAGAGCGCCGGTCACGAGATGACGCGGGTCGACACGGGCGCGTTTCGTGTCGCCAAAGTTGTCCATCCAGCGGCACCACTCCACGCACACAGCGCGTCAGTGTTGCGTATAATAACGGTCGTAATAGCGCGTGGTATTGCAGTGTCGCTCCTAAATCGTCCACTTTTAATATTACACACACCGGCATACGTAAACACTTACCTATGTGGCTATGTATTCTGCGTGTACGCACACAATAATAATAACAATAATAATAATAAAAAACAACCACCTATCCTAACGTACCCATATTTACCTACGTCATTCGTGTACAACATTGTATTGTAATAGATATTATTATTATAATATTATGTGTCAAGACATTAGGTATACCACCAAACGCAAACATCGTGACCGTCAAGTTACTCTATTTATTGTCTAGGTACATAATATATTAATAATACTTTATGCATTGTTAGTATACTGGTGTCTTTTGTCAGGTACACATGTAGGATAATTTTATAATACCGGTATACACGTAAGACATGAGTCATAAAAAAATATTCGAAAATTTTCGACTTTCCCGACGGGTGGCGTCGAAACCACGACCCCCGGGGACACCTGTCCTAACGCCTAACCTACCTAGCCACCTACTGAGATGAAAACTTCAGTCAATTCTGTGACTCTTAAGCCGCGTCGCCGTCCCCGCGAAAGGCGAACGCCGTTTGGACGTCAGACGTCAGTCAAGGGGCGTCGTAGCGGGCGATCCGACCGCGTCGGGAAGCGGACTACCGGCTCCGCGGCCCTCGGACGTATAAAACGCGAGATTTGCAAATTTGATATCGAACCTCGAGACGCATGTATTTATGCCTGTCTATAGCAATACGTAATCGGTACCTACTCTCTTTTCCGCGACGCCACTCCACCCCGGGACTCGTTTTTGAAAAAATAGGGGCTGGCGCCGGCTATACAATTATCGGGGAACGCGAATAAGTCATCGACGGGGAGGGTGATGCGACCGAAAGGGGCTAAAACTCGAATTTTCGAAAAAACGGCAAATGGAGAAGTCATATAGTCGTACTATTTTTTAATATAGTTTATTAATATTGTATTAAACAGAATTTAACCAAATCAGAATCACGTAAAAACTGTAATACTCGACTTTTGAAAAAAAACTTAACACTTTCGTTAAAAAAAATAAATGTGAAAAAAAAAAATCCATTTATCACGGCCGCCGCAAATTACCGATACTGCCGGCGGCCGGGTTCGAAACCACGACCCTCGAGTCACCTGTCCTAACGCCTAACCGACCTAGCTACCTACTGAGATGATAACTTGAGTCAAATCTATGACTCTTAAGCCGCGTTGCCGTCCCCGCGAAAGGCGAACGCCGTTTGGACGGCCGTCAAAAGGCGTTTGAGCGGGCGATCCGACCGCTTCGGCGAGCTGACCTCCGGATCCGCCGCCCTCTGACGTATAAAACGCGAGATTTGCGAAAAAAATCGAACCTCGAGACGCATGTATTTATGCCTGTATATAGCGATACGTAATCGGTACCTACTCTCGCTTCCGCGACGCCACTCCTCGCCGGGACTCGTTTTTAAAAAAGTAAGGCCGCGCGCCGGCTATAAAT